CCAGCCAGTGATGTTGAGGGCCTGACCTGGGCATGGGCAAAGCGGGGGTAGCTATGGGGTCTGTGTGGGGGTGTGGAGGATGAGTGGTAAGCAGCCCAGAGTGCCTGCTTGGATGTTGATGGCAGCAGATGGGGTCTTGGGCCAGAAGACCTTGGCTTGGGACTCAAAGGCCCAGGAGTGTCAAGCATCACTGTTCTGTGGGTCACAAGAAATCATTCATTTGAGCTAACAGACAAAAAAAGGGGAAACATTTGCCCTTTTTAAACAGAGAATGTCAGAGCTCTAAGAGATTAAAGTGACTTGCCCAAGGTCACACAGCCCCGGGGCTGGCAGGTCAGGGGCAGAACTCAACTGCCCTCATCTCTGCCCACTGGACCTCCACTACCCACACTGCTACCAGCTCCCTCCAGGAGAGGACTTCAGGTTCTGGGTCACTAGTGGAGGTGCCAGAAGCTGGAGTGTGGTGCCTGGTAGTTAGGAATGAAGACTCCAATGTGCGTTATAATTGTTACTAATAATAATAGCTCTGGTGAAGTGGGAGTTGCTCGTGTGCCAAGCACTTCTATATACATGATCTCCTTTAATCCTTGGGAGTTTTACTTGTGGTCAAAGTTTAAAGGAGCCCTGCTTTGTAGTGGGAGGTATAAATGAACTGGTATCAGCTGTATTCTCTTTCTGGTCTTGGTGTGATAGCTGAGGGCCTGGAGAGTAAAGTCCTGTCTGTGCTCAGGACAGGTGGGGCCAGGAGAGGGACAGAACGTGCCTGTTCTCCAGACAGCCTAATGTCTAGGGTCAGAAGGTTTCTGCGTCCTGTGTTCTTGTGACTTGTACTCTGCATCTGGGGCTCTCCCATCCAAGGACCTTATCTGCCTCTGGGAGTGTTGTAACTTCACCAGGTGCCTTCATGGCTACTGCTTTTCTGCAGAAGTCACCAGCTCCATTTTGTAGGTGAGAAGACAAAGGCCAGAGAGGTTAAGAAACCACCAAGGACGCATANGCTCCATTTTGTAGGTGAGAAGACAAAGGCCAGAGAGGTTAAGAAACCACCAAGGACTATGCCTTTAATGGTTTGTAGACTCAGAGGTTTCAAAGTTTCCTTGGTTTGTTTCTTAGCACTAGAGCCCTTTTTCCTAATGCTTTCTAATGCAGACTTAGATTCCCACTGTGTCCGGCAGGTTACAGGGATCTGCTGTAGCTGGAATGAGGAAGGGGCCCAGAGCCAGCTTCCCCCACGTCCCTGCTTGAGCACCTGGAAGCCCCTCTAGGAAGCAAGGGGACACAGTTTGAGAATCATAGCCCCGACTCCTGCCTCCGTGCTTGACCCCGTGCCCACGGCTGCCTTTGTTCTGACCCCTTGGGTACCACTCTGTGCTCTAATGCTTTTCCTCGCCAGCACTATTGAGCCCTGACACTGGCCCTGCACTTGGAAGGCTGCAGCTGGTGTTTATGGGTTCAATGCATCTCATCCTCTGCACATTAATTGTCTGGGCGGCTGTAACAGGCTTTGTTGTGATTTCCGTGAGTGAGCTTGGACAAGTCACCTGACCTCTGCAGGACAGTTTCTCTCTTTGCATACTCCCCACAGAGCCTCCTGCTCTACCAGCGGCCCAGGTTTGAGAGTAAAAGAGGACCCTACCTAAGCAGAAGTGCAGAAGCAAATGAGGTCCTTATTCATGTATCCCTGGGACTGCAATTAGCAGTAGCTCCTGCTCACCTCTGCAAGTTATCACCCAGCCTGTTCTTGCTAGGGCTCTAACCACAGGACTGTCCCAGGAGCCTGGCTTTGCTTTATGTCCCTCACTGAGGTGTGGCCTGGACTTGCCTCTGGAAGCTTCCATTGGCACATGGCATAGGGTGTGGCCCAGAGTCCCCATTCAGTTCCTCAGCATTGGCTCTCATGCGTGAGCTCACTTGTTTTGTTTACCTCCCCAAATGGTGTGTAACCTGTGTTGCTTCCACATAACGGGCTGGGCGGGAGACTTCAGTTTAAAGGCAGGTGGAAGTGACAGTGGTTGCAAACTTGACCATTCATTTATCTCATGGCTCTTCTTGCGCGCCATTGAACTCCCAGGTCACGCACTGTTCCAGGTGCTGGGGACCCAGCAGTTCTTTACGAGAGGCCCGCCCTCTTAGAGAGCATAATCTCCGCGTGAGATAGATAATATGAAATACAAACCAGAAGGAATGGATAACTTGTGATGAGAATGGTGAAGAAAACAGACGCCTGATGGAAAATGACAGGAGGGGACCTGGTTTGGGTTGGGTAGGCAGAAAAGACATCTCTGACATTTCAGCTGAGACAGAGCCTTTCAGGTGGAGGGGCCAGTAGGTATGAGAGAAGAAAGTTCCAGGCTTGTCCTAGGCATGGAAGGAGGGGTACTGCGCCTGAGGGAGGTGGCCGCTGGGGGATGAAGCTGGAGAGGGAGTTGGTGGGTCCGCAGTGCCTGTGGGCTGGATAAGGCGTTTACTCTGAAACTGAAGGGTTTCTTTTGCTTTCTGGCTGGTGATCAGGAATGGCACCTGGGTTGTGTCTGAGTGCTGTGAGATAAGGGACACTTCACTGGGCACCTGGCTCAGCTTGCCAGAAGGCGGGCCGGGAGTGGGGGGAGGGGGGAACCAGGGGCTGAAGAGGAGTCTCAGTGGCTCCCACCCACCCGGCAAGAGGCTGCTGGAACAGAAATTCTCCTTGGCAAGTTTCTGGGAGGGGCAGAGTGAGACTGAAGGGCAAGGTGCACACATCATTGTCAGTACTGGGGAAAACAGGTTAATAAAACATAGGCTGGACAGAATGTGGAAAGTGCAGAGCCAGCTGGGTGAGGACTAGGAGCAGAGTGGACTTGGTCTGGGAAGTTCTGGGGAGAGGGAAACCAGCATGTATTATGTTCCAGTGGCTTTTACAACCCTCACAAGCCTTCCAGGCAGTTTTCTTGTTTTGCTTATAAAGAAATCCAGGCTGGCTGCAAGCTCAAGGTCACGCTAGCCAGGCCAGGCAGGTTTTCCGAATTCAGAAGGGACTGGGATTTGGCCAGGCAGTAATTTGGATTCATTCCTCAGGAGTATCACTGAGGAAAGGTCAGGGAGCCCTTCGGGCCTGGTGAATAACTTGCCAGACGGTGTTTATAGGTCACGAGTGGAGAGTAGGGAACAGGTGGAATGGGGGAAGGGACCCCAAAAAGGTGAGTCTGTGCTGAAAGTATGGGGGAGCTGGGGAGGAAGCTGAGCAGAGGCTTCCCAGTGTCCCAGGCTGCATGACGTTGCTGCAGGAAGGTGGAGGCGGGTTCAGATCTTCCCT